TTCCTTCCTTCCTTCCTTCCTTCCTTCCTTCCTTCCTTCCTTCCTTCCTTCCGAGGGGATTAACCTCCTTTATCATCCTCACACCCACAAGCCAGCTCTTGAACTGGTTCTGCCTGATAAATATAACTCTCACATTTCATCAAAGACGATTCTCTGCAACTGATGGAGACCAACACAGAAACTCACAACTGGTCAAAATGCAGAAAACAACTGGCCATGAGGTACCCAGCCACAGGTGATAAATGTACCACACAGCTCTTGCACCTAAGGCTCATAGAACCTTGTGGCAGAGGGGTGAAAAGATTGTAAGAGCCAGAGGATCGGGACATCTGCTGTGAGACTGTGCCTCCTGGAAAAGATAAAGGACAAGATATTGCAACAACACGGCTGCCTAAACAAGACCCAGAGAAGCACAACACCAGTAGACATGCTAATATGGATTGGGAAATCCTACAGGGCCCCACCCCTAGACAAAGCAATACAGGCAACTAAGGAATGTTGGTGAGGTGCCAGGAGAACTGGTCTTCCCCAGGGATGAGCCCAGTAATCAGTTATTTAATACCAAGTGGTCAGTCCTGAAATTGCATACATAACAAACAGTAAATGGATATCCAGAAGGTCGTGGTTACATATTTAAACACTGGTATAGATAGATGTAACTGTAACAATTAAAGAAAATCAGGCCATGAATTTGAGAGGGAGCAAGGAGAGGCAGGTGAGTTTGGGAGGAGGAAAGGGAAGGGGAGAAATGGCGTAATTATGTTTTAATTAAAAGATGTTGGAGTAATAATATAAATGAGAGGAGTAGGGTGAGATGGCTCAATGGCTCGGAGATGGCTCTCTTGCCACCACACCCGATAACCTGAGTCCTAGCCATAGGACCCACATGGTAGGAGGAGGGAACAAATTTCCTCAGGCTGTCCTCTGACCTCCAACTCAACTCTAAGTATGACTCAGGGTACGTACACACACACACACACACACACACACACAGACACACACACAATGTGCGTGTGTAAGAACAATTTAAAAACTGAGGTGGAGAGATAGCTCCATAGGTAAAATGCTGGGCCTGAGTTTGACTCTTCAGAACCCATATTAAAACAAAGCCCAAACCACCAGACTGGGTTTAGTAACACACACTGGCAGTCCCAACACTGAGAAGGTGGGACAGGCATTTCCCTGGGCTCCCTGGCCAGTGACTCTAACCAATTTCCCTGGTGAGTTCCAGGCCAATGAGAGAACCTGCCTCAAGAAAGAGAAAAGGAAGAAATGGCGGCTTGTGTCTGAGGAACGACACTGACAGTTGTCCTTTGGTTTTCACGTGTGCACATATATCTATACACACATGAACATATACCCACACATACATACATACTAAGAAACGTGGGGCACCTTGGGTGCCTGCGGGAGGGTGGGATTGAGATTCTGAAGACTCAGACCGTAGAAATTCAATATTTATGTCTTTCTGATAGGTCATGTCCCTTTCAAGTGGCATTCACTAGGATGGCCATCAAGCATAAGGAATGCTACTCTCCTCTGCCTCATCCTCTTTTATGCTTTCTTGGTGTTTGCTGTTGATTTTTATGTAGACAGTGGTAACCTGTAGATGTTTTTCCTTTTGGATCATGCTTACTATTTATAGAAAAGAAAAAGAAAAAGACTCGCCGCAAAACCACTTGTCTTTCCACTCTCCCTGGGGTCATGCTTGCTGCATACTCTTCTGCATCCTTAGTCAGCATGTGGGATACAAAGTGTCTGTGTGCACTCACGGTGCCCAGGGAGGGAACACCACCTGAAACCCCAACTCCGCCCTGCCAGACCCGTTTCTACCCTGTCTGCGGCTCTCCACTCTGTAGCCTGCTCATCTCCAGGCAGCTTCCCTCACACAATCTCTCACTTCCTCTTCCTCATGGCAATATGTCCATAAACTCTCTCAACACCGGACCCGTGGCAGCCGTTCCATAAACACTTATTCAGTACTTGCCATGGGCAGACACTGTAGACACTGTGCTGCTAGCGGCACAGACATGAGCTGGTTCTAATGAGCTGCAACTTTGACAAGGATCCTCTCTGTGACGTGAGAACTGTGATTCGTATTTCTCATCAGAAGAAATGGAGCTTTAATAGTAAGGAATATGCCTGAGGGTACAGAACTGGCACAGTCGCCTAGGGTTCATTTTTACATCTTCTGACGCTGGGCCCAAGAACACATATCCGTGCCCAGTTACCCACACCTTCCACACTCTGGTTCTTGTCTCAACTGGTTTGTGGGATTTGACCCATGGTGGTATTCTGTAGTGGGCCAGGCATGAGGCCTTCATCTGGAGCACTTTCCTAGGCTACCCTCATGAGAGAAAAGTCCCTTCAAGTTGCTTTGAGCACCCGTTCCTTCAGCTCGCTCAGTTCAGGGGACAGGGTGAGAGTCCGTCTTTCACACTCACCACCGTGACTTTCAGAGGAACCGTCAGCTCACCCTGTCTAACGACAAAGCCTGCCTGGCTTTCCTTTCTTTAGGACATATACATACACACGGGCACACATGGGCACACGCATGCAGATGCCTAGGCAATAATGCACATATGTACACAAGACAGGAGACGGCCTCCTGGCAGTGGCCGTCACTGACAGGCAGGTTGCTGTCAGAGAGCTCTGCTTTCAAGTTGTAAATTCCAGCAGTCGATGTCTATACTCGAGGAACTGAGCTCTAAGGGACACTTCCTGTAGCTCTTGCATGATAAGCTACTGAAGGTCTACTGTTATTTATTCTATAAACCACGCCAAGGGGAACAGTTGTCTTTAGCAGCAAAGCAACAGAATCCTGCAAGGGACGGGCTTGTTTTACCCTTCAGCGTTCAGGTAGGGAAGGGAATAATTAACTAATATGTAACCTCTGCTAAGTGCTAGGGACTGGGGAAGGGAGATATTTTTTTAAGCGAATATTTCATCTATTTATTTTCCACAGTAGAAAACAATTTCCTTCATGAAGACCTGGCAGGTGACCCGCTCTTCTTCTGCGCTCTGGGCTTTCGGACACTCGTGAAATACCCTACAAGCTGTCTCGTACAGGACAACTCAGACTCTGAGAAATCCGTTACCCCTCCTGGATTTTTCCAGCCACTGTAGCAAGGAACATAATGGCTGTGTCTATGGAGAAAATGAGTCACTTGTCCAAGGTCGCAAAGCTCATAGGACTGAGGCTGGGGGTAGAATTGAAGGAACTGGGACATGGTAGGCTAGTCACAGGCTGAGTATTAGGAGGCACCTGTTGGCTTTTCTATGTGTTGGTCCAATAGCATTGATTAAGCCAATTTTCTTTTTGAGAAAATATTTCCCTCAAAGGATTGTCAGGAAATCACATGAAATGATGCCTGCAAAATGGATAAAAATGAGGTTGAGTAAAAACAAACAAAACAAAAAAAAAAACTACAAAAACAAAAACAATGGGGTGATTCATGTCTGTAATCCCAGCACTTGGGAGGTAGAGGTAAGAAGAGCAAGAGTTCAAGGTCATCCTCAACCAGCTAGAGAGTTCCAGGCCAGCTTGGGCTATGTGAGACTTTGACTCAAAAAAAAAAAAAAAGAAAAATTGGCAAGCAGCAAAATAAACAAATAAACGTCACCCTCCCCTGCTTGCCCTCCCCCCAAACTCTGTTCACTGTTATATCACCATTTAGATAGGGTTTAAAGTGAAGAGTTTGGCAACCTTGAATCTTGGCTGGCGCTTGCTGCTCTATCTTGATGCGTTGACTTTCACACTGGGCAGCAATTTGGTTGAACACAGGCCACTGCCAAATCCCAGAGGCCTCAGTCTTGCTATTGGCCTGAGCCTTCTGTTCCAGTGCTGGCCCAGTCCTGGCCCAGGATAGCAGAGTGACCTGCGAGTCCCTTCTCTGAGCATATGCCTTTCCCCAGTCCATGTCCTATCGTTTCCATTATGATCTGTGGAGCTGGTGTCAGATACAAATGTAGAACATTTGTCTTCTATTAGCTATTATAATGTAAAGATGTCTTAAAGTAGGGGTTCTCATCCTTCCTAATGCTGTGGCCCTTTAATATAGTTCTACATGCTGTGGTAACCCCGAACCATAACATTATTTTTGTGGTTACTCTGCAACTGTAAATTCGCTACTGTTATTAATTGTGATGCAAATATCTGTGTTCTTCAGTGGTCTTAGAGGACCCCTGTGAAAGGGTCCTTTGACCCCTAAAAGGGTTGCCATCCCTAGGTTGAGAATCATTGCTTTAAAGTATCTGGGAGGAGGTTCCTGGGTTATATGAAAATACAAGACTATTTTATACCAGGGATTTGAGCATCCAAGGATTAGTTTCCATAGGGAGGGGTGTTTGGGAACCAAGCCCCAAGGATACTAAAAGAGGCCCACATGTAATGGGTTCTAGAAGTTAACATTGGAGTGAGGAGCTGTTCTAGCTGGTGTGAGATGACATTACACTGAGTGAAGAGAAAAGGAGGCTTTTCTAGCAAGAACAAAAGGTTTCCCAGCAAGAACAGAAGGATTTGAGAAGCCAGAAAGAACACAGGGTACATTAGAAGAAGTTTTGGGAACTTTCCTAGAAGCCGAGCAACATGGTACAGATGGAGAATAATGGGGTCATATGGCCATGGTCTTGTAAGCCAATCTTACAGCTGAAATGACCTCCATGCCCAGCGGGGAGTAGCAGGAGGCTCTGGAGACTCAGTTGCTAGCTTTAGGGAACTCCTGTTGGTAGCACCGGCCTTTCTAAGGCGAGCAGCAGAGCCTTCTCCAAACCGGCATTCAGAACGGGGCCAGCTGATGGTCCCT